TTATTGTGGCCTAGGTCACCTGAGCCCGGACAGCTGACAGGGCAGCTTTGAGGTGTCAGTGTGCCGAGATGAAGAACTCAGCTTCCTTCATTTGGGTTTTAGTGAGAATGAGTTTATTGGGAACAAGAATATAGCTAACCTTTGCAAGGATAAAGAAAATATTTCTTGGTACAGTCTTCTCTTTTTATGTCAAAAAAGACTCAAGACTTTGTGAGACTTAACCTTCCTCCCATACACCCCCTATAACATTGTAAAATAGAAAATGTTCTTTTTTTCTGAACTAACATTTATTCCTAGCATATGTGGATGCCTGTAAGAATTTATTGGGGCATTTGATTTTCAGTGGCATAGTTTATATAATGTTAGGATTATCAAATTTGGACAGACCCATCACCATTGCATCATCAGAAGTAATGCTCTTAGATGGAAATTGACTTAACCTTTCAAAATCTATTTACACTTCAACCTCAATGGTTGAATGACAATAACTAGGTATGTGCCGGGTTTTCTAGGCTCAGTGTTATATTAACATGATTTTTTTTTTCTTTTTAAATAGGTAAATATCTACTTAGCTTGAAAAGGTCTAATTATTCTCAAAGAAAAAATTTCTACACTAATTATATAGTTGGACTTGTGTGCACCATCTCCACTTTCTTTAGATTTTTTTTTGAATTTATAATGATGAAAATATCATTTAATTGTTTTAAGTCAAGATGATTGGTTTTTTGTTATCTTTTCTAGTAGTCTTCCTGCTATATTTTGTATATATAATATTCATCTAAGATATCTTGAGGGTTCCAGGATCTAGAAAAAGGGCCATTCTGTTTTAATTTTGAGAGGAATAGTATTGGATAAGGAACTATTTGTCTCCAGAAAACTTGGAGTGAGTCACTTGATTATTAAAGCAAGGAGCTGGAGTTAATTTATTAAAAACGGACATAAAGTCAGAATTAAAAGAATTACTCAAAAAAAATTTATTGACTGCTTACTAGTATGTGGCATTTGCTATAGGCACTTGGCCCAGGAGTTTTTGTTTTCCTATAGGGAGTCGGGCATTAGGAAAAAGGATGAATGAACAAATTGATGATAGGTCACTAGAAAAAACAAATTGGGTCAAGAGTAAGTACTATCATAGGGTGGAAGCATTACTATTAAAGATAGGTTGGTCAAGGAAGCTGTATGGCAATCAACATTTGAGTAGAGACCTGAGGGTTTAGGTTGAGAGAGAAAGTAATGTGCTCACTGATTATGTGGCTATCTATAGTAGAAATGTTAAAGGTAGAATTGTTCTTGGTTATATTTGAGGAGCCCAACAAGGAAGCCTGTGTGTGTGTATAACAGAGGGAGAGGAGAGGGAGAGGGAGAGGAGGTATCCTGTAGGGCCTTGTAATTGATTTGTTATAAATTTTTGGCTTTGACTAATAAGGAAAGTCTGTGGAGGGATTTGAACAGAGAAATGCCATGGTCTGACTATTTTAACAAGATCCATTTGAATACTGAGATGAGAACAGAGTTTAGGGGAGGTGAGTGTGGAAGTGAGGCTAATTAGAGGGCCTTATGGTAAAACCTAGAAATGGAAAATGTTCATGTGAATAGGTTATTAGTGGTGAATGGTATCAGATTGTGAAGAATGGAAGGAGAAGATTTAATTGGAAGGATATCCAGAAATTTCATTTTGGACACGTTAAGTTTGAGATGTCTGTTACATATCCAAGTGGAATTCTTGAATAAGTAACCAAACATACAGTTCTGGAGTTTAGGGGAAAAAGCCCCAGGTTGGAGACTTGAATATGGAAGGCATTATTATAGACTACAGACCCAGTGCACAAAATTTGTGCATGGTGTGTGTGTGTGTGTGTCCCTTAGCCCAGCCTGCATTCTCTCCAATCTTGGACCCCTTGATGGATGTCTAACTGCCCTCTCTCAATCCAGGACTGCTGGCTCCCAACCACTCACCTGCCTGCCTGCCTGATTGCCCCTAACAGCTTTTCCCTGCCAACCTGATCACCCCCTAACCACACCCCTGCCAGCCTGATCGATGCCTAACTATTCCCCTACTGGCCCAATTGCCCCTAAATGTCCTCCCCTGCCAGCCTGGTTGCCCCAACTGCCCTCCCCTGCAGGCCTGATCACCCCTAACTGCTCTCCCCTGCCAGCCCTATTGCCACCAACTGCCTCCCCTAGAGGCCTAGTTGCCCCCAAATGCCCTCCCTTGCAGGCATGGTTGCCCCTAACTGTCCTCCCCTACTGGTCTGATCGCCCCCAATTGCCCTTCCCTACATGCCTGGTCCCTCCCAACTGCCCTCCCTGTTGGCCTGATCACCCCCAACTGCCCTCCTTAGAAGCCTGGTCACCTCTAACTGCCCTACCCTGCAGACCTGATTGCCCACAATTGCCCTCCCCTGCTGGCCATCTTGTGTCCACATGGGGGCAGTCATCTTTGACCACATGGGTCACCAATCTTTGTATTGGAGTGATGGTCAATTTGCATATTACCTCTTTATTACATAGGATGGTATTTAAAGCCATGAGTCTAGAGGGCTTTATTTTGGGAGTCGGTATAGATTGAATTAGAAAAGGCCCAAGAATAGCTATAGAAGTTGGGGATACTTCAAATTTATTAAAAACAAATGCTTATTGAGGGATTTCTGCTTAGATGAGTAGTAGAAAAAGGAGCAGGCAGTCATATTAAGAAGTCAAGGGAAGAACATGATTCAAGAAGGAAGGGTGCAAAAAGTGATCTTCTGCTGTGTTATGCTACTGAGAAGTAATGGCCAAGATGAGAATTGAAGTATAGCCATTGAATTGTACAATAGAGGTCTTTGATGACCCAGACAGGAGTTGTTTCCTGGAAGTGGTGGGATGAAATCTCATTGAAGTGAATTTTGCTGAAGATTAAAACAGATAAATGGGATCTGAATATGATGAGAAATAGAATGAGCATCTAATTTATCATCTAAGCTGGGACAATTTGCCAGTGGAAGAGGATGCCACTGGGAAATATAAAATAGTTACTCTAGGTGGTGGAGATGGGAGTGTCAAGAGAGATTTTTGCAGAGAAATATCTTATATCTATATTTACTTCCTCAGAAGCAATTCTTAAATGACTTACAAATTCTTAGTCAATTGGTAATTCAATTATTTAATAGACTTTGGTATGAAATATTTTTCATATATCAGAGCTTTTTTAATAGTTTTATTATATCAGAGCTTTTTTTTAAATAGTTTTAATAGCTTTATTTAATATATCAGAGCTTTTTTAATAGTTTTGCTTTGTCCACATGCAATTTATTTTCTCAAAGAATGAATTGATTTGGCAGTTTCGATTTCCTAGTGCACACTTAAAAATATCCTCATAAACATAGAAGTTTTGCAATATGAAAATGAAACTCCATGCCCTAGAATTTTCATTATTTAATTGAAATACTTTCAGGGATGAGAGATTCATAATAATGGTTTTTGGTCTTCTAACAGAATAGGTATTTTATATACATAATGACTGGCATGTGTTTAGCTAATATTGATTTTATCTGAGTTTCAGTATTTTCTTAAACAGAGATCATAAACTCTTGATAACTTGTTAATGGATTTCAGTCAAACTTTTTCTATTGTAAATTGGGCTTCATTTCAGTGTTGTTTTTTTTTTTTTCATGTAGAGTACTGGTCTTTAATTTTTTTAAATCTCTATCAGTAATAAGTAAAAAGCAAATCATTTGTTTATTTATAAAAATTACAAATAATTTTGGCTATACATATTTTTTTCACAAAACAGCAATTTAAAAGGGCAAGATAAGGTTGAATAGTATTTTTAAAATAATGCTGTTATTTATGATAGCTTTCCACAATCATTGGTAAACTAGTAGCCCTGTGTACAAATCTGTGCGCCAGTAGCTGCAGGGCCCAGTCACTCCAGGCTTTCTGCCCAGAGTCTCTCCATGGCCAGAGGCCCTTTGTGGCCGGGGTGGGACACTTGCCTCATTGCTACCTTTTCAAAGTAAGAATTCTACTAGGCCGCTCACACTGCCTGCTCTCAGTGGCCACCACCTTCCTTCCCCCCCCCCCCCCCATTGGGGTACTCCAATGGGGCTGAGGGGACTTGATGCCGCCATCTTGTGGCTATGGGCACAGCCATCTTTGTGACGGAGTGATGATTAATTTTCATATTGCCCTTTTATTAGATTATATAGATAGGATAGTTTCAGGTGCCATGTCAGGTTCTCAACTTTGGTTATCCATTAGATTCTCTTAATGATGTTTTTAAAAAGTTATGAGGCACAGGGAAACATCATCAGAATTTCTAGGGAAGCAGATTGTTTTTTGTCTTTTTAAAAATCAATGACTGATATGCAGTGAGGTTAAGATCTTCTGTATATACTTAAGGGTAAATTTATCTCTTGTGATAATCAATGTAAATCTAAAGTTCTTAACTTTTTTCTATCACCTATCTTCCTTCCTTTCTTCCTTGCCTCCCTCCCTTTTCCATCCCTTCTTCTGCTAAGTTCTTGTCAATGCTGGCTAGATTGTGTTTGGAGCTTGTTAAGAGCTACCTCTAGGAAGTATAGATGATCATTGCTGCCATTTTCCTTTATGATTACGGTATGCTTTGGCAGAATTTGTACTATCTTCAATATGTATTGAAAAATATTTTCAAATTACTCAGCCATTTTGTGAAGATTTGTTAATTAAAAATCTACAAATTTACTGGTAAACTGCTAGAAAAGACACCTAATTGTTTTTATAATAAATTGTTTTTGTAATTCCTTTTTTACAATAAACTTTTCATGCTAAATATAGCGATGTGATGGACATATTGAATATGCTAGGTACAGTTCATCAATGGTGTCTTTTAAAATTATCATAAAAAATAAGAATATCAGAAACTACCTATGATTGAAATTTAGCTCTATGTGGATTGAAAATCTGGACTAGTGGAGTATGATTCCAGATGAAATGAGGACAAATGAAACCCAGTTTACTTATTTACTTTTTTTTTCCTGTAGGAAATTTGAAATACTGCCTTGTAATATTGAATCAACCTTTGGACAAAAGTTTTCATCATCTTTGGAGCAAAGGTAATCTTAATTAGTGTGTATATTTCTGTTTTCTTACTGTATTTGGGATTGATTAACATTGTGTTAAATATTCTGGTACCTAAATACTGTTTAATAGCAAAAAGTAGATTCATAATAAGGTGATTTAATTATTGTTTTATCAGAAAATCCTGTATTACTTCTCTTTATATGTCATTTCCTAGCATGGGGTCCCCAAGAGTAGAATTACAAAGTAGTATCACTCACTGTAATGCAGCACTACTGTGTGGATGTTAATCCTGAGTTCTTAATAACTATTTATTCAAGTATAAGCATTTTTGGCACAGTGACAACAAAAAGCATCCACAAATCTCATTCTTCCCAGCTTCCAATAATGTTATCTGCAGTGATCCGTTTTGCAAAATTAAAAATGAAGACAAGTTACCAGTGTATTAGAATCTGTAGGGATGCTGAAAAATATAAAAATAGAATAGTTTCACATAAATAATGCTTCTGTGAAGTTTCATGAAAGAAACTGGCTTTATTGACTTTCTTTTTATTCTTTAACTTTTATAGCATTAACTCTAGGCTACAAAATAATATTAAATATAATTTGCTGTTTTGAATCTCTGCTTTTCCATGAAATCCTTGAATTGTTTTTTTTTATTTTGACTTTCAAAGGGATACTTCTGATAAATTATCAGTGTAAGTTTTTAGCCAAATTATAGATAAACTGAATAATTTGATTCTTGATTATTGATATTGATGCATATTCTTGATCCTCTTTTATCTTTACAGAATTCTTTAGCATTCTCAACAGTAAGGTTATCTGTTTCAGAATGCAAACCTATTATTAATAAGCTTAATCTGTGATGCTAGGGGGCGATAAATTATCACACATTTTGTATAATTTTCTTGTCCAATGTGATTATAATGAAAACTCTTACTATTTAAATTTAACCCATCTTTCAGTTAGTCAATAAAAGTTTTCACATTGCGTTTGTACTAACATTGCCCTCAAAGTTGGAAAATTATTTAGCCCTAGCCGGTTTGGCTCAGTAGCTAGAGTGTTGGCCTGCAGTCTTAGGGTCCCAGGGTCGATTCCTGTCAAGGACACATGCCCAGGTTACAGTAGGAGGCATGCAGGAGGTAGCCAGTCAGTGATTCTCATTGATCTTCTATCTCTCTCTCCCTATCCCTTCCTCTCTGAAATCAAAAAATATTTATATTTTAAAAAGTTGGAAAATTACTTAACTATTAGAGGCCCGATGCACAACATTTGTGCTCTAGGGTTGGAGGTCCCTCAGCCCAGCCTGCACCCTCTCACAGTCTGGGATCCCGTGGTGGACATCCCCTGAGGGGTTCTTGGTCCTGCCGTGGAGGCAGGAGAGGCTCTTGCCACAGCTGCTGCACTTGCCAGCCATGACCCCAGCTTCTGGCTGAGTAGTGTGCCCTCTGGGAGCACACTGACCACTAGGGGTCAGCTCTTGCATTTTGCATCTGCTCCCTGCTGGTCAGTGTGTGTCATAGCAACTGGTTGTTCCCAGTTCAGTCAATTTGCATATTAGGATTTTATTATATAGGATGATTTATCTTTCACTGCACTTACTGCTTACTTGTAATTAGGTAGTTATGGGGTGCCGTAAGGGTGATAAAATCTTTTTGGTCACTTCACCTCTAGTGCCTACTCTATTCTTGGTACATAATTGCTTACTAATTATAATAAATGAAAGAGTGCAGTTAATATGTTCCTATTGTTAATAAGTACCAAAGTACTATAAGTACATTCTTTTTATCTGAATTTATTTTATCAAGGTCTATTACATTTTCAGGAAAGTGTATTTTATTGCAAATGTTAGAAATAGATAAAATAACCATTGATAGGATCTTTTGGAAACTTTAAAGAATAAAACTACATCTTAAGAAGTCTTATATTTGGGGGTGTGAAGGGTCCTATTTTGCACAAGGTATGAAATGATGTAGATTTTTTGAACTAACTGAAGTTCCTCGTTTTATAGAGAATTTGATTTGAAAAATTCTTGTGCCTGATGGATACCAACTAATCATTTGATTTGCATAAAAAATGATCACTTGGTCAAACTACAAGGTGTCCATCAAAAATGTGTACACATGTAGAATAATTATAAAATCAATGTTTATTAACATATAGTTTGTTTTCAAAATTTGAAAGAATTTGCAGAAAGGAATAACTTTTCTCATTAATGCCTGTTTCAAACTGATGACCATTTTGGTTCAGGAATTGCTGATAATGCAAAGCAATGGAATCACAAATATGAAGAATCATTTCGTTCTGTATGTGTGTGCCCTCAACTATTGGCAGTTTTATACTTTAAACTTTATATTTTATGTATCCCCATAAAAAATGTCTAGTGGCGCTTTAGGATAAATTTTCTTTGTTCAAAGGTTAGTTTGGCTTCACCCATTATTTCAAATAAGTTAAACCTGAAAAGGAATGAAAATTCAGTGAGTTATCAATTGTTAACATGTGTATACATTTTTTGGGGGGACACCCTATGTATACATGGAGAGAAGGAAAGATATCAAATGTGCTGAAATAGTAATATAATTCTCATTTCCAAAAGAACTTTTATTTAGGCTATTGAAATGTTAAGTGCTTTCATATAGATCTCTAGGATAATTCTTGGCTTCATCATTATAAAAAGCAGGTCTGTGAATAAAAGCTAAGGAAAAGTGGAATGGAGTTTTTGTGATTCTCATAACAGAAGCTGTGATGTTGTTTGTGTTGCTCCTCTTCTAAGCAAAGGTGTTTTGTTTTTATCTTTTTATTTTTTTATTTTTTTTATTTTGTGTGTTTGTATGTGTTTCATTTTTTTTTTCCCCCCCAAGAGAGGCGTAGCAAAAGTATGAGACAGCTTTGTGGCTTGGATTTCAGCAAGTACGTAAGTGAAGGCTGGAGGCTACCATGCCGGCCCCTGTAGCTCAGACGTGCAACTTTTTTGTAACTTGTGTTCAATGGTTGTAAAGACTGTGAAGAGCAGACAATAGGGGTGAAAGCTGGGCTGTTAAATCAAAATGCAGAAAATTTTGAAGGCTGCTGTGCAGTATAAGTCTCTCTTATTTACAATAGATAGTTTAACTTGAACCTTTGCCAAAGACTCTGTTGAGTAGGTATTTTCTGGGATTTGTTTCATGAGAAAGACTACTTGAAGGTTTATTTTATTTTAATTTTTTCCTATAATGCTTAATTGACATGTTTTGAAATTTAGTTTAAATGGGATTTAAATTATGAAAGTTTTTAAATGTATTTTCTCTTTAATACCTCATGAAGTCTCACTGATTTTCTTGGTGAGATGATTGGCATTTGTGAATGGATATTGCCCTTAAATTTCTTAACCTATTTTTTTTTTTTTTACAAAAAAGCTTTTACTTCCAGCAGATGTCTTTCTTACCCTAAAATATGTGATAAGTAAAAAAAAAAAAAAAATAGGGATGTTTATGTTTGAACAGTTCTGCTTATTTCTTGTTGTATGTCAGTTTTTCTCAGCTTGGGGTCACCAGGCTTACCAGGGTCCTCAAAGATAGTGGGAGAGATCACGAAGTTGAAATACAAAAGAAAAAAGAAATATGAATCCTAACAGATATTCATTTACCTGGGCTAAAGTTACATGGACTAACCATATATCAGGTTTCTAGAAGTTGGGCATCTCAGAGTATATCCTCATTTTTAACTGGAATTCACAGCCTTTCCCTGACTCTCCCACAGGTTTGCAGAACAGCGGTGACCATGTTCATTAGATTATGTTTCCATTATCAAACTATGTTAATAACAGATGTTTGTCTTCAGTGTGACCCTTTTTTTCCTCTAATAAGGAATCATTTTTCCTTGCTTGATTTTTTTTCCTTTCTCAGTTCTCTGGTAACCAATCTTAAGATCACACCAGGGTATAGGCAACATACTCTGGTTCCCTTTGGATGAAGCTTAAGTCATAAAATATTGGATCAATAAAGCAAGTCTTATGGATAAAATGAGACATGTGTCACAGTTCATGAACTGAAATATAAGCAAGGTCTGTGGATTTATTATGTTAGTTTTCCCTTCCTTTCTGTTTGTAATTGGTGGAGACCTGTCAGTGCCCTTCGGTGTGAGGAGGTGGGTGAGCAGCTGGGGACGTAACTATGGGCTCTTGGTGATGGCAGAATTGAGAGTTGAGAATGCCCAGTGCAGTCTGTTTCTGATGAAGGCATGAGATGTGAACTTGCTCTATTCCTGCTTCTTAATAGCTGAACTTATCGTAGTATTTGATGAATTGAATCTCCTTTGCTCATCTCTGTATGCTTTTCTTTCTTTAATCAAAAACACCTTACCCAAATAAAGCCTTTTTAATAAGATTATGACTTGCCCCATTAATTACACTGATCTCATGTAATGATAGTGTTGCCATCAGATTTAACTTTTAAGTGAAGGAAAGATCCTTGTAAAGGGGCTTGCTTCAATAGTAGTTTGATTGTGCTGGCCCTTTTCCCTCATACACTGTTTATGTAGGTCTCTGTAAGCCTTTTCTTAAACTGATATTTTGAAATTTAGCTCAATCAAAGATAGCAAGTTTATATCGAAGGAAGTTGTTTTATGTTTCCTTTTTAATTTCCATTTCTCAATTTAGTAAAACCTCTTTACCTCACTTCTGGCATCCAGTATGTTTATTCTTATTAAAATAAGAGAAATTGGGTACCTGCCATTTTTATGTATATATTGGTGGAGTTGATTTTGCCTGCTTTAGAATGCTTGGGATCAATCAGTATTTTAATCCTATTAAATCTATTTGTGTACATCGTCCCTGTTAAAGGAATTTCAAGGGAACTGTGTTTTGACAGTCATTTTGTAATTCAGAAACCACTTTTTTTTTTTTTTCAAAGCTACTCTTAAAGCTGACTCTGGAAAGGCTAGTCAGGGTCCACTTTTTCTTTTTCTTTTTAAGAATATGTTTCTAATACAGTGATTTCTCTGGCCTCATTTTCAACTGCTATCCCTTTCTATATACTTAATGACAGATAGAGAACTT